GAACAAACTCGATTTCATCTCCTCTCTCAAGAAAACTTATAAAACCTCACTCCAAACTCTTCCTGCTCCGATTCAATACGAGAAACGCACGTCAAAATCACTCAAATTGTACTCTCCAACACTTCTCACATTCACCAAAAATTTTGTCGAAGAACTCTCACACAAGAAGTAAGTTTACGCTGCTTGAACTTGGCTCTTTAAATCAAAGTCCTGCTCTAACCGCTCTGGGTTTGGACTTGTGTCTAAGTGCGGTGCTCTCTGAAGCGAACAGAAGAACTGGGCGCTTGAGCTCCTAAACTGGCTGCTTAAACGACCAACATTGGGTGCCGAGACGCCCAAAAGCGCCCCCTCCACTTTCCAGTGCCCACAAACCAGCGCAAAAACATAAGTTGCTTGGTCTGATGTTCCTTGATGGTGTTTTGGCTTCAAATCAGGCTCCACAAATCCAACAATCTCCCACTTGGAGACTGATAGCACTGAGCATTATGTGGCTCACCCCCAGTCTCAACCTTCATAAAACTCAACTAAAACCAAGCATAACTTCAGTTTCTCAACAGTCACCACATTCGTCAACATGTCCGCAGGATTCTGAGTTGTGCATCTTCTCTGGGAACAATTGTATATCTTCTAGGAGAGAGTGAATAAAATGATACATCAACTGAATGTGTTTTGTTCCAGCAAGAAAAGATGCATTCTTAGCAAATGAATCACACTCAAACTTTCACTATGAAGCTTTCTGATCATCTGCTCCTTGCCTAATTCAATCATGAAACTTTGTAGCCAAATTATCTTCTTGCTAGCCTCAATAGTAACAATGTATTCAGCCTCCATAGTTGAAAAAGCAATGATCTTCTGCAACCTGAAAACCCAACTCACTGTTGTGTTCCTCAATATAAAGATATACCCTGTTGTATTTCTAGTATCCACATCTCCTGTTAGCTTTGAATTTGCAAATCTCAGTAGAATGGTCCCCACACTTCCAAAACAAAGTGTCATGTTAATTGTTCTTCTCAAATACCTGAGAATTCACATCACCGTCTCCCAATGATGACTTCCTAGATTGCCCATGTATCCGCTGATCACTCTCACTGCACATGCAATATCTAGTCTGGTACAAATCATCGCACACATCAAACTTGATCCCCACGGAACACGACTGGCTCATCACAGTATTAAAATTATTCTGATATTATGTCACCAAACTGTCTTTCACCATCTTCATGTTAAATAGCATCTTCGTCAAAAAAAAACTTATTTAAAGCATAAGGTTTTTCATACATCTTGGTCAGTAACGCCATGAGATCCGCAATAATTTTCTCATTTAAAATTTTAAATGCAACAACAGGATCAAACCTAGTGTCATTCGATCCAACACTTCTCATTCTTCCATAGGCATAGACTTTGGTTTGCTTATAATTCTTTGTAATGGCAAGTATAACTTTTTCTGATACAGCAAATCCTACACCTGCATCTTCCAAAATACGAAGTTCATCCCATTGAACTTTTTCACTTTGAACGTTGTTTCATCAGTCATTGCTCCCACACGAATCGAACAATTCTCTGGTACCGCAGTGTTGAGTAAATTCCGGAAAAGAAATCGGAAGCATCCCCTTCCAAATTCATTTGAGCTTAGACTCAATTAAAAATCTAAACTACACAACATAATAGAATCGTGTTGATTCGACAAAACCGGAAAAAACTTACGAACAAAAGCACAACAAATAAATCCAAAAAAGCACACAAGAATTAAACGTGAAAAAACCCAAGGGAAAAAAACCATGGAGCCACACATCCAAAAAAATTCCATGATGAAAAATCAAAGAGTTTACAGAAAACACACTCAATTTCCTCTCCTCTCAAGAAAACTTATAAGATCTCGCTCCAAACTCTTGCTCCGATTTGACACGGGAAATGTACGTCAAAGCCATCGAAATCCTCTTCTCCGACATTTCTCACCATCACTAGGATTTTTGTCAAAAAATTCTCACACAAAAAACAAGCTTACGCCGCTCAAAATTGGCTCTTTAAACCAAAATCCTGTTCTAATGACTTCAGGAGCATAGACACCCAGACTTGGATCCTAAGCGCCATGCTCTCTAGAGTGAACATAAGTGTTGGGCGCTTGAGCGCCCAATATTGGGTGTTGAGGCACCCAAAGGGGGTCTCTCCAACGCTCAATGAGAGTTGAAACACCCACAACATGGCGCAAGAGCACCGAGTGCTCGGTCTGATATTTCGTGAGGGTGCTTTGGCTTCAAATCAGGCTCCACAAACCCAATAATTTATTATTCCAATAATCAAGGTGATGCTCAACAAACTGCTCAACGCAACAAATATTCTCAAAGCATTGCTTGCATATAAGGTACCATCAATTATGTATCATTAACAAGCACATTCTAAAGACCACCTTCTTAAAGAACAATAGTCAAGAATTTACAATAAAGCCTTTTGGTAGCTAATGCCCCCACCTTCTTCCAAAATATCATGAACACAATCCTAAAATCATATCTCATAAAATTTTTTATATTTTTCTTAGAAAATATCTTTGTATACAACACAATTTCGGAGCACACAAAACATTAGCACCATGTACTAAAATGTTCATCTAGAGCATTTCATTCGACTTGAAGGAATCCAAATGCCATTTTAATTAAGCAACTATAGAGCATTTGAGCACTAACAAAAAATTAGCCATTCAAATTGGGTTAATGTGAAAGGCTAGGAAGCAACCCTATGGATTCATGGGGCAATCCAATGCTACCACAATTCATCAAATAATTTTCTTTGGAAAAGCTTTAGATTTTATCTCTTCCAAATTTCAACAAGCCTTTCGTTATCAATACTAATACGTTTGAGTTTTTTTGTTAAGATGGTATATCAATCGCCCATTACAATAAAAACTTAATCCAAAGATGCAACAACAATCCATAGACGTCCAAGAGATATTTTCAAAATAAAAAGGCTATCGTAAACTGGTGATAATGCCAAATTCACCATCGATATAGACCAAAAAACAACAATCCATAGACGTCCAAGAGATATTTTCAATATAAAAAGGCTATCGTAAACTGGTGATAAGATCAATTGAATGCCAAATTCACCATCGACATAGACCAAAGGAGTATTCATGAATGAAAGGTTAAGCCATTCAAACACTAGCACAATAACAATTTCTCATGATATTTCTCAGCTATGGCTTCAACATTGAGTACAACCCAAGCCTTCATAATTTAGCAGTCGACATCCTTTCTTGCATATACGAAGAGCAATATGATAACCCAACTAATGCTCATAAGAATCTCAACAGCTCAAGGAATAAATGGCCTCCTTAAGTACTCAAATTGCGAGATGAACTCGATAAATTGCTTCTAGTATTCTGTCCACAAGGGCTTAATAAAATTTAATAGGAAAATACACTCTCAGTTGAGTCCAAAGAAAAATAACCATAATGCAAGAATGTCACTCAAATCTAAATGGTAGTCACAACGACATCAGCAACATAATTCATTGCATTTCTCTACCCATTTAATGGATTTCATTAGGCTTTTAATGGTAAAACTATCCTTTTGATGTTCAATAGGCTAACAAAGCATACCCATTTCTCCGCAATGAGCAAATTTATATACTGAGTTCTTTAAAGTCCTTTAAACTAAACTCTCATACAGCATAGCCCATCATCTGCAAACCGTCACACAAACATGTCACAAATAGAGGACTTAAACAATAACTGTAGTACTACAAAACTGCAGATGCAATACTCACCACCGTAGAGGTCTGTTGCAACACAGCATGCTACACTACAAAGTATATGTAACGGGAAGGTATAAACAAAAAAGTTACGCAAAAATCAATACAACAAATCGTTTCATCTTATTTCATTCTTCAGTCTTCCCCACCTAAGCAGCCTCAAATTTGCTGTTATCCCTTGACATAGTTCATAACACATACTAATGAATGATTTTCCGGATTCAAAAATCTATCAACCAGTGATTGAACATCTGAATGGCACAAAAAAAGCTCTTATTTATATTTAAAAAAATACACCTAATGATTTCCGGATTCTAGAATCATCACAATAAATTTAAACAACCAGAAGTCGCTTCTTTAAAAGACTAAACAATTGACAATGAAGGAGAAAACAGACAAAGGAAAAAAGGGAGATAAATTATTATTCATGCGTGCTACAACGGGGATGAATGGAACTCCAAGACATTATTTCCCAGAAGTCACAAAACCTAAACCGGCCGTAGCTTAGGATTATCAAAATGACAGCCAAAAAACGGGATCCTTAAACCGAATTATGGAAACCGCACGGGAGAGATGAAACAAACCGAGCTTCGTGAACTCGCCGGAAGAGAGGGCGTCAGCGTAATACTTGTCGTTGTAGCGGACGGGAAATAGCGCAAGGTTGAGCTTCTTCAACTGCATCAGATTCTTGTCCCTCAGGCCGTCAAGCGATATCCCCATCTCTGTCTTCCTCTCCCTCCCCACCCCCACCTCCACCTCCCCTCAGCTCGCTCAATCCTCGCTCTGAGCCGATCGTTAACTTCACCGCACCCCTCAGCTCGCTCAATCCTCGCTCTGAGCCGATCGATAACTTCACCGCACGGGGGTTTTAGCTGCAAGAGGGATTTAGGCGTTGGTAGGTTACAGTCAATTTGTAAATCCTAGTCCGAATTGCATTTATAATTTTGATTTTTCATGCATGGCTCTCTAAATAATAAAAATGTAATAAATAAAAATACGAGTAAAATAAGAATTTAAAGGTGTGTTTAGCAACGGTAAGAATTTTGTTAAATAGGATTTACTAAATTTCATCAATCTTGTGAATATGGGTGATAAAAAATTGGAGCTCGTGCAAATGATGGAATAATTTCTTAATTCTAGCTTATGATTGGATTTACTAAATCTAAATTTACATCTTAAAAAAGATGAAAAGTGATTGAACGTGAAAAAAATTAATTTAACAAAACATTTGATTAAATTTTTTTTTCCATATTTAGCTAGATATAAGTTAAATCTAGTGGCTAAATTCAATGATAGCATGCTACCAAAGTGTAAGGTTCAAATATTGAATTTGAATTGAATCGTAGGTTTAGTTGGAAGATCTAATGAATTATAAATGTATATAAAAGGACAATACCTAAGGTTTACATACGGCTCAATTCCTATGTATTTAAGTTATTGATTCCAATGTAAGACTGGGGAAAGTAGAACTTAAGAGAAAAAAAGAGAGAGAAATACTTGCCCTCAAGTGGGCGAATGGGGTTGGTCCACAGGCTCGGTGGTCGTTTTTATTCCACAAAACACGATGTTACAAGTGGGGGGGGGAGCAAAAAGCCCCTTTTACAATAAAGGAACCTTTTACTTATAGAAGATAGGAGAGCAAAAAAGCACATTATAATATTACACTTGCTTTTAAAGAGGTATTAAATATTTTAGTCTTTTTATATTGATGTATTCCACTAATAAGTCATTGATACATTTAAAATATATAGTATTTTTATACACATTTTTATACATATTGTTTGAGATATTGCGCTTTAATGAAAGGTATTTGTGTGTTTCTCTTTCAGGTACAATCAAATGGATAAAAAATGATAAAATGAGTGAAAAAGAATCAAATTTGGAGCAAAAATGAAGAAATGTACAAAAATAAACAGAGGCGCCTAGGCGCCTAGGTATGACTTATTAGCACCAAAGGCTAGCGCTAAGTACTCCGCGCTTAAACACCAGAAGTAGATATTTGATTATTCATTGAATTTAGACAAATTTCTGAAGAGGTATTTGAAGCAACCATTGGTAAAAACATGAGAAATATCCCATTGACATGAAAATTCATTCAATTGGCGTATGAGGAGGCAACTTCTAGAAGATTCGTTGAATGAAGACACATTTTGAAGGGACACCAAGGTAACTTTTGGATTTTTATTAGAAGAAGACTTGGATTATCAAGGTCAGAGGCAAGCCACCCATTAGATTTTACAGTCATCATCCATCCATTGTCGCTGGCCACTTTCTTTTTATTTTGAGTGTTTAGTTTGTATTGTGAGTGAAGAAAGAGAATTCAAAAAAACTTCAAGACATTTGGTGGAGGGGATTTGAGATAAGTGTTTATCTTTGTGACTACATTTGGTTTTAATTTAGATTTCTTGTTTGTGTGCACGATTTCTACTTTTAAACTCATGAGTAGTTGTGTTTTTTCCGTAAATTATGAGTTATCTTCTTTATCTTTTTCCTTAAATGATAAGTGATTAAGAGTTGAAAGGAAGTTGTGATAAGTATTAAACTTCAATGTTGGAAGAATATGTGATGATTTGAAACCTTGCACTTCATTTACTTCTTAATTTAGTCAATTAAGATGTTAATACCTGTTGTGAAAACATATAAGATCTGGGATGGTATTTTCTCAGTCAATAAATGATTAGAAACACATATTGATTTCATGGATGAGAATGTAGTTCATGGGATTGAGTGTAAATAAATAGAAAAATAAACTTTTCAATGGTGTAGAATTAGAGAACTTTAGAGTGACAAGCTAAAGCCCCTAATTTGATTTATAGTTTTAGGTTTTGATACGAGATGTTAGCCCCCAGGTGGAGGGAGAAGAGGGAACCCTAGAGTGAGAGCTAATATCTTCCTTACCTAACCGGTCTTCAAGACTATTTAAACTATAGATTAGCCAATGTTCTTTATAGCATCTCTAGTAAGGGTAAAGAATATTATTGCTCCTATTTGGCACAACACATTTAGAATACTTTCACAACAGAATTTTTCTACTTATTATTGATTCATGATAAGGAAAAAGATATTTTACTTATACTGCCTTCATCTTGCAAATATTTAGTTAAGTTAATTAGTTGCTTACTTTATTTTCGTAAACCAAAAATTACAAAAAGAAACGAATTTTCATTCCTATTTTAGCCTCTTAAGTTTAAGTAAGAATATTTTGCAAAGTAGATTTTTGTCATCTAAAATTTCTAATTTTTTTTAGTTTTCTAAAGTGCATATTCGGTTTGATATTCGGGGCTTAATTAAAAAGTTTTCTATTACTTGATAACGATACATATACTTGTGTGGTATCCCATATTTAAATAGTATAATTGTATTTTTATTTGTTTCACAGTGGAAAACTTAGTTTTTACTTTGGATCAAGTTCTTGACTTTGTTGCAAATTAAGAATAATTAATAAGGAAATTAAGCTATTATTGCATACATCGTATTTTACTTCTATATAGAAAGTTGGGATCAGTCCTCCGTCGGGGGGAAAAAGTCTCCAGTTTGATTCTAGCTGGCTGAAGAAGAAAGTTGTTGGTTGACTGAAATCAGGTGGCTGAGGGAGAGAGCATGGTCGATCGACTGAAGTGAGATAGTCGAGGGAGAGAGCCTGGTTGGTCAACTAAAGTAAGGTGGTCAACTATCGGATTGCCTCGAGATCTGTGCATACCATTTTTGGGTATGCATATTAAGTTCTTTAATTTTATTACTTTTTGATAGTGATAGCAACAAGTAAATTTATAAATCAAACAAGCCGTGAATATGTAATTTGCTAATGATACTCCCAGTCATGAATTTTTTTAGCTCGGTTCTGGTACTTTCGTCATCATCTATGTGATTTCCAAAGTTGCTCGTTCTAGTGGTGAGTATAAGAGTTGCTCACCCTGGAGGGGGTTCTTGTCGTTTCCTGGTGTTAACTTTATAATTTAGGCGCTAGATGATAGTTTTTGCACCCCTCACAAAACTTGTTATTATCGAGTGTCGATATGTCCCATAGACATGTGTTGATTGTTAAATATCCCTCATGGAGCTTATCACTAACGGATGTTAACTTCATAATTTTGGCACAGGACGATCATTTGCACACCCCTTGTAGAGCTTGCCTCTGTCGGGTGTTGATACGTCCTATAGACCTCTTACGATTGTTAGAAACCCCTCGCGGAGCTTGTCATTGCAGCGTGTTAACTTCATAATTTGGGCGTTGTACGATTGTATGCACACCACTTGCAGAGTTTATCGTTGTCGGGTGTTGATACGTCTCATAGGCCTCTAACGATCATTAGACAACCCTCGTGGAGTTTTTGGTTGCCCGGTGTTAACTTCATAATTTGGGTGCATGATGATTGTTTGCACACCCCTCGCAGAGTTTATTGTTGTCATGTGTTGATACGTTGACTCAACCCGCACTTACATGTATTTTTAATCTCTTTAATTTTGCCAAAAAATATATCTTAATTTATATCTAGTGGCTAGTATGAACAAATGTAGTGATTTATGAATTATATAATATATTTTCACACTAGGGGACTACGCAAGTATAGGCATCGTTTCAAGTAATATAGGATTTTACTTCAAAACCCCAGTATCAATCCCATGAGGAATGTGGTAACTCTTAAAATCAACTCACATAAATTCTATTTAAATTGCAAATTTAAAAGATAAGAAGTCTAAAATGATATGCTTAATAAAAATTACTACTTACAAACTAATAAAGAAAGTGACAACTAAATGTAACAGCTTAACAAAATATAACAACGAGTTTGGATATTATAGAAAATCTTTCCCCTTGCAAAGAGATTTTAATATATGTAGGATTCAAATGATTTAAGATAAAATTGAGGTATTGTGACAAATAAAAGCATACCTTATTATTTACCCCCTCCTGGTGCTTGCAGAGAACATTAACTAACTTAAGATCGATTCATTAACAGCTTGACTCCACATTAGTGTTATCTAGCCTCTCACCTCTAGATGTCCCTAGCATATGCCATCATAATGACTGAACTCCAGCATCAGGATATTAAACCTTAAGCCAAACTGATAATAATCTAGCCTATCACTCTATATCTAACCAATTCTACGTCCATCAAAACTTATCTCTCTATTTATTTGCACTGCCCCTTAGGTGATTGCAGTGACTCTTGTATAGAAGAAAGTGTGATATTCACTAGTTGCACTAGTTGAGTGAAATCATAGCCCTCCAAGGTCATTATGTTTCTCAAAAGATTTTAACCTCACAAGTGGCCAGTTTGTAAAGTAAATGAATATTCGGTGAAAATACCATCACAATTTTTAAGAGTAAAAAAAAATATTTAAATTATTCTCATCCCACAAGATTAAGTCTCATATGTAAGAAGAAAGGAATGGAACTACTCAGAATTCATGGAGATTAAATAAAAACAAAGCATTTGCAATGAAATCCAAGTCTTACAACAAAACTTAAACACAAATACAAAGTACCTTATGTCTTCTCCCTAAGCAAACTTCTGGAGTTTCTTCTAAGTAATCTCCAAACTTCTTCATACTAAAACACACACTTACACTTGAACACAAAATATGAAAAACCTAACTCACTATTGCCACCCAATTGAAGTTTTGAGGCTTCAAAAGGTCTCTAAATTTGGTCAAATCCCTCTTATTAAATATAAAATAGAAAATAATCAAGGGCTGCTTCAAACACCCCTCTAAAATTTGGCTAAATTCGATGTATCTTCTAGAAAGGTAGTTGTCGGCGCTATAGCGTCAAAGCGCCCTCTTCGCTCTACTGT